TGTGTGTGTGTGTGTGTGTGTGTGTGTGTGTGTGTGTGTGTACCTTCTGCAGCAGCTGAGGAAAGTGCTCTGTGATGACAGCAAAGGCTCTGCCGCTCACAGCGAAGTGATGCGTCTCCTCCTCCACCATTATCTGTGCAGTCTGAAGGAAACGACAGAAGAACAAAACAACTGACAGTGCTGAGTGAAATGATCAAACAAACTTCATATATTACTATTGCCATCAAGAAAAACATGTTTTGTTTGATTAGAATAATACTATTGTAACATTGTAGTGAGGCTGAGTGAGTGACACAGGATTTTGGGTCTAGGACAGGGGTTCTCACACGTTTTGGGTCTGGGGACCACTTACAAATGAAAAATTCCAGGGACCCCCCCATAAACCCCATGCTGTTTTAAAAGATCATTTTCATTTCAACCCCTAAATGCCATGAGAATATATTTTTATTCAGTTGATTATGTCCGTTTTATTAGTTCATTGTTCTCCATGCATTTTTTAAAATTAAACCAAATGAACAATTTAGTGACATTTTTGAGGACTCCCAAGATACTGTACCTCTCACAGACCCCATTTTGAGTGTCTCTGGTCTAGGAACAAAAACATTCAGACTTTTATAGTTGTGTGTTTAGATAAGTTGTGTTCAGTTCTGGTCTGTTTTAGTGCATTGTGAGCTGTAAAACTGACACCATAAGCCAAACACTATGGGCTGTATAAAAGCTGGAAGCATTTCTTGTATGAGCTGGAGTGACAGATACAGTAACCAGTATAAAATTGCTGAGTTGTCAAACCATGACTGCAAAGCTGTATTGCTGGTTCTGAATATTAGTCAGCATTGCTTACAATGCAGCAAACCCCTGTGGAGGGTTATGAGTTTGGGTCTGATGAGTTACAGGCTGCGACAATAAACACCAGAGATGTATTCACGCTGTCAGTCTCCAGGAACATGTTAGTCTTCTTCTGTACTTGTGTTGGTGGTTGTGGTTGATATAAAAAAGGGACATTAAAAACATTTTTGTTAACTGAAATAAATAAAAACTGTAATAAAATGAAAAAATGATAAATAACTAAAACTAACTGAAATTATAGATATAATAATAATTTTAAGCTGTGTGGACTGATTAAACAGATCTTTTTTTCCTTCAAAAGCAGTAGTTTCACATTAGCTTTGAGCAGCTTACAGCACCTCGTTCTGTAACAACACTTGTTTACAATCAGCTGCTGCTCAGCATCGTCTGCTACATGAGACAGCAAAACTTGGGAGAAAGCAGCAAAGTCTCTTTGAATATGACTGCAAGAAAAAAAGCACGGGTCTTGAGGAAACAGGTGATAAAATAGGTGAAATACTTCTCTGTGTATCTTGACAAGTTAGCTTCTCTCAGTAGCTCCTGTGAAAAACAAACAGCCAGAGCAGGTCCACCCAGGATGGAGACAACTATCACCTTCCTAAAACAATCACCCAAAGTCCTTTGTTGGATAAACTGAGTTACATGATTATTTTAGGAAGGTGTCGCTATAATGAACTGTTTCACTGGCAACAAGCTGCTGGTTAGTTAACTCACAGGAACACCAGAAGCTGGAGGATGCATTGACAAATAGAGTTTAGATGAAAGTTCATCTCTGAAAGAATAATCTATCTCACCTGCTCCATCCAGCCGCTGCGTCACAAGCACAGCTACATTCAATCAGCATCTGACAGTCAGTGCATAAAAGACTCTGTCTGCTCGTCAGCCAAACGTCAACCTTTCACCTCCCCTCCTCCTCCCTTCATCTTCTAGCTTCCAAGGGCTTTCCTCTCCTTCGACCTCCACCACCAGTGTCGGGCCCCAGGGGGGAAGAAAAACTCCTACTCCTCATCTTAAGCAGTTCATCTGAGCTTACAGCATCTCACAGCGCTCACATGCTCTGCTGGGGTCCGAGCGCCAAACTCTAACGTCATTCATGTCAATAAACCTGCAAGTCAGTCATGTCAATCTTCCTAATTTCATTCTGTCTTCGTGTGAGTCTCTCCAGGTTAAAATATGTTTATTCAAACTATAAAAAACTAATACTAGAACAAATGAAAACTAAACTAAAACTAAGCATTAAAAAAGCAATAATAACTAATAAAAACTAGCAAACCCACTCTTAAAACTAATAAAAACTAACTGAATCAAAAGAAAAAAGTCAATGAAATAATACTAAACTATAATGAAAAATCTAAAACTATTGTAACTTTGCTACTAGGCCTGTCACGATAACAAATTTTGCAGGGCAATTTATTTTCTCAGAAATTTTGCGATAAACAATAATATTGTCTGGTGACCATTTTAAAACTAATATAATGATAATAGCGTAATACTGTAAGTGCATCCTCTCAAAGATAAATAAACTTTAATTTTTAAAGAATGTTTAATAAAATGAACTCTTAGTCTCTAATAAAAAATGCACTTGAATAAAAAAAACAAAGAACAACTAAATGGAAATTAAACACCACACACACAACTGAGACAGTAAATAATATTAAAAAGCAACATCTCCTTAAAGATGAAGTCAACTACACTGTGAGTGTGCACCACTTTCACTTTGTAACTGCTGCAGTCATGTACCAGGCAGGGTTGCCAAATAAAATGTTTTCCTGTTCCTTTAAAATAGTTATATTTTGGGTCAAAAGAGCAGATATGCTGTATATATATGACTCACTCAGTCATGTATGCTGAGTGAGAGTGTTGTAAGATAAGAAGTGTGTTGCGTTCAGTGAAAATATGCACAGGAAATTAGCAGCAAAATTTTTTTACTTTGTTTTTTTGTTTGTTTTTGTTTGGCAACCCTGATGCGGCTCTCACTCATGCTCTGATCATGCAGCAGCTTCATGATCACAGTTACATCCAAACCTGCGGAATAAAGGGTTCGTTTGGACCTAGGACTATTTTTGTGTTTTACCTAAAAGGATGAGTAACAGAAAAACACTCTGCTGTCTGTAATTTATTGTGACTGTTGCTACTTTAGAAGAAACTTTTCTGTAGTCACCTGTGTGTCGGCTGTTTGAGCATGCGCGCTTTCACAGCGGTGAGGTGCTTCTCACCTTCATGGGGGATGTTACTGAGACCTGGTTTCAAATAGTGCCGGTGTCAGAGACTCCGATCACCAGTGACGTGTAAAYGAGTGGCCAGATTGCAAAAAAAAAATGTTGTGGTTTCACTGATAACCAGCTCCGTGTAATTATTGCTGCAAACTCTCATTCTAAAGATGTACGAGACTGCGCACCTGGCAATACCTAACACGAGAGTTCACTCCTCACGACTCTAAGAAAACAGGAGGGGGAGGGGTCAGTCGAGCTGCGCACCAGAGCACAGAGAGGGAGAGACAAAAGTAAACAAGGAAGCAGGCAAATAAAAATTATCGTCCTCATTTTTTTATCGACCTCAAAATAATTTATCATACGATTAATTGATTTATTGACTATCGTGACGGGCATACTTGCTTACTTACAAATACATGAATAATCATTTCATACAACAGAACCTAAGGATATCCCTGAACACACACTAAAACAGCTTGCATGGGAAAATCCAGAAGAGTTTTAATGTGCCACTAATAATGCTGTGATTAATCTAAAAAAGTATCTTGGCGATTAATTTCATTATGTACAAAATTTAATTGTGACTAAAAGATGTTTCAAGCATTTTTAATGTATTGTTTTATATTAAACAACTTAAAACAAATAAGGCAAAGCCTTAAAGCCTGTCTTGTGTTTGTCTATTTTTCTCCATCAGCTGCCTCCAGCCTTGTCTGCAGAAGCCTGATGTGAGGAGGATTTCTAAAGTTTTTTCTGTTGTTTTGTACACTTTAATGACCTTTCTGTTGCATACATGTCAAGTTGTATGGATTGTCTGTAATTTACACAGATTTTCYATCATTTTGCAGGCATACGGACGTATAGAGCAATCTCACAGATTTTTTCAAGTTTTACAGATTTTTTCAAAACCTCATTTTCAAATTAATCTAACATGTCAGGGCCTGTAGGACATTAAAAAACTGTAAATAATATAAAATAACCATCTTCAAACCTGCACTGCCACTAGAAATACKTAAGACTAGAAATAGTTTCTCCACTTTTTCCGCTCTCTTTTACTCCTGCTTTGCAGCAGGTACCGTCATACCCCCCCCCCCCCCCCACACACACACACACACGCGGGTGCCAGTGGTATGGATTTTTTGCAAAACTTATGGATTTTTGGGGCTCATTATACAGGTAAATGTCCAAAGGGGTTGACATGTAAGATGATGTCCATTTCACAGCTCACCTGATTGTCCTTAGCAGTCTGAGCAGACATGTCAGTGTATCGCCATGTGATGCTGGCAGGGTGGGAGTCTTTGGGGGGTGCAGCGTCAGYAATAATGACCTTCTCATGAGGACGGACCATCCCGCAGTCTCGAGCCACAGAAATAGCTGTCAGCATGTTGTCTCCTGGTGGATGATGTCAGGGAGGAAAAGAGTGAGAACAACACAGAAACTGCTGCCATCAATGAGTGAACAGCTTCACGCCTACCTGTGACCATTAAAGTACGAATGTTGGCCTGGTGGAGTTCACATAAAACACCGGCGGTCTCAGGTTTGATCTTGTTCTGCATGATGATCAAACCAAGGAAGTCCATGTTGGTCTCTATCAGATCCCTTAAAACAAACACAAAGAATGAATCTCTTAAGTCTTTGCTGCCAYGTATTTAAAAGAAATGACTAAAACTGCAAAGCAGTTATGACCAGGGTCCAAGCCTGTTTATGCAACCATTCCCATATCGTCCGCAGAACCCCATCAATTTGTGCACCACAGAGTTGTAACATGAAGAGTATGTGTAAGGTCTATTTGAGCCCTATTGTCCTAAATAGATCTAGGTCTCTAGAAATGGTTTGCTCCATAGTGCTCCAGAGTACCTTTTTTGTCTTTTTACTGGCAGCTGCATTATTAACATCCATAAAACAATATACCAACTGTGCCTTCTCTTTCCAAACCATCTAAATCTGGCCATTTTAACAWTTTCTCTCAGCCATTTCATCTGTATGTACTTCTGGTGATCTCATTGTTAATACTACAAAATAATTCACCCAAGGCAGACTAATTTTGTTGAAATCCTAGCTATGTTAATAAATATATGGATATATTTATTCAYAAGTGCTGTCAAAATGTATTGTTCTGTTTGGGAAGCAGGCATGGACCAGGAACACATTTGTACATTTTATTTGGCTCTAATGTGCATTTTGGTTTTAGCTAAGCCTACATGTGAAATGATTGCTTGAGGACGTTTACATGCAGTCCAGATGCTGCTCAGTCAGATGCTGATCAGTTGACTTTATTTGACAGAATTTAGAATTTAGCTACTGTTTGTTTAACAGGCTCCTTCATAAAGTTGCTTTATTTAAGCGTTCCAGACAAAACCCATACTGGCAACTATGAGGAGTGGCAGAGTAATCGGGCTTTAAGTCAGAACTAAGAGTTACCCCAAATTTATACTACATGCGTCTCCGCTCCGCTGCTGTGTGCAGTTCGCAGCTGTTCGTTTRTGCCCCAATTGTGCGTCTGCTGCGCTCAGCTCCRGTCCGGTCTGACAGACAGAAGAGGGAGGGTGTCAGGACTCGGGAGGGTGTGCATGAAGGAGATTGCGCAATAAATCCACTGATAAAAGTGGAAGTCAGAGCAAAAAACAATTAATTCTGTGAAAAACGAACTCCAAACACAGCTGAAAACATTGATATAAAAGCTTTTGATATCTACAGTATGTTGAAACTGTCTCGCTGTCGTCTTTTTGAAACTTTTGATTTCAAAATAAAATCCACGTGTATCGTGTGTGTACACATATGCTTCATGCTACGTTTCCATCTGCTTCCCAAACAGAACAATACATTCTGACAGAATTTGTGTAGAAATATATCCATAAATTGATTAATATAGCTGCAGTTTTGACATTATTCAGCCTAAAAGTGTCTTATTTTGTAAATACGGATGTTGTGCTTGTTCCTCTWCCTGTTGGTGCGACGTAATCTTTAAAAATTGACTCCGGCGCAGCTCTGGCGTCCGGCAAAAATAGGACCTGTTCTAATTYTGACGGATCGCCGTCCGCTCACCGCCGCCGTGCGCAGCCAGTGTAAACACTCTCATTGATTATAATGGGTGCGTATTTGCTGCGGAGTTCGGACCGGAGCAGAGCAGAGCAGAGCCTGAACGCATGTAGTGTAAATTGGGGATTTGCAGCACAGATAAAGACACACATTKAAGTGGCCAACCACAGTGGAGCATCCAATGAGAAAAAGATTTGTGATGCCATCATGCAAGGTGCAAGCCTGGCCCTTGCCTTCCTACACAGTTCTGCTGGATTCTAATCTCTCTTCTCTGGTCTGTCAGGGATTTCTCCAACGGACAAGGATTTCTCTGGTAGAATTTCAACCAGGCCAATCAGCAAACAGAAGGAAGAGTTGTGAAYGACGACACTGATTTTTTGTCTGTAGGTTAGCAATGGCAGCAGAGGACATGAATGAAGCCATTCAGTCCGTGTTGAAAAGGCTTCCAAATTAAATTAAAATTGTCTTTCAAAGCCTGCAGCTCTCATTTACAGCCATCTGGTTCAGCTCAGTACTTCTCTCTTCCCAGTAGGGGATGGTTGTCTACAGTGCACGCAATTTCTGGTTAACCTCTTAGCTTAGCTTCCTTCATGGTGGAGCTGGCGCACTGCATACGTTGCAGCCAAATGTTAGTGACTGGGTAAAATCAGAATCAATAATTTTAAACTTCAACAGAGGCCACACCTCCAGAAAGAAATCATTTCTCAATAGCCGAGAGTCTAGACCTACTGTACGAAGCAAAGAGTAGAACAAGGGGCTGATTTTTACCAGGCTAGCTAGATGCTACACGGGTGTCTTTAGATATAGTCAGAATAACCGCAGACCGTAAATATCAAAGTAAAAAAAACTAAAGTAAGTCGTGAAGAACAATATTTTACTAATGGTAGTTTTCATTACCAGAACCTACAAGACCAGGCTTAAGACTTTCTATTTTGATAAATCCTTTAGCTGGGGTTGGTTTGGGTTTCCCGAGTTATTCTTTAGTTCTGCTGCTATAGGATCAGACTATAGGAAGATAGACAGAGCACAAAGTAGTGCGCACTCACAGAYAGCGTAGTTCGCTTCATCTCTAAAGAGATGCTGCTCTTTAATATTGTTCATTTACTGTTTCACTTGTGTATAGTGTTTAATTTCCATTTTGTTGTTCTTTGTTTTTTTTATTCAAGTGCATTTTTTGTTCTTTAAAAATTAAAGTTTATTGATCTATGCGAGGATGTACTTGTACTTGCATTATTACGCTATTATCATTATATTGGTTTTAAAATGGTCACCAAACAATATCGTTTATCACAATAATTTCTGAGACAATTAATCGTCCAGCAAAATTTGTTATCGTGACGGTCTAGTGGTCAGTGTTRCCAACTTAGCAAATTTGTTGCTAGAGTTAGTGAGTTTTCAGACCCCTCTTAGGGCTGGGCGGTATGAACTCAAATTTATATCACAGTATAAATTGGATCCCTTCACGGTAACAGTATATATTGCGGTAGAAAATTATCATAAAAAGTTAAGATAATGTAATTTTTAGAGCTTTTTTTGCAGAAAACTGTAATCTTAATTAAACCCAACATTTTTGCTTTAATATCTGCCTACCAAACAATGAGCTTCTGCCTGCTGAACTTATCAGCTGCTGCTCTGCTGCGCGCTCATCTTCATCATCTTCATCATCAGAGCAGGAGCCGACTTTACATTAACAAGATGGATTTACGATTGAACGAACGTCCACGTCTTTTTTTTTTAAATAATCTTTGTGGGTAACAATACATAATTTTTTCTCTGACAATTGGGTGTGAAAAACTACAGTTGTTAAAGCTTCGCTCTGCGCGACGTGCAGCGAGAGGAGAGGAGAGGAGGAGAGGAGAGGGAGGGAGGAAATGATCCGGCTACACGATGTAACTTTTCTACAGCAGGAGGAGGAAATTTTGAGGATTTATTCTCTCTATACGTGTTTTAAAACGCTAGAATTTCTTCATTATATTTGGAACTCCTGCTCAGTTGTCTCAGCACTCGCAGCCCTGTTGACACAGGTGCGATGACGTAATGGCAATAGGACGTAGAGTATAAATTTCTACCATGGGCCAACATCATACCGTTTCTACCATCTACCGCATGTACTGTGCAGCTACTCTGACTTTTTTTCCAAAAACCGACTAGCGACAAATTTAGTGACATTTCCGGTGTTCTTGGTGACTTTTGGAGGCTTGGGTGACAGCACTTTCCTCAGCGAACAGTGAGTGGTGCAGTGAGCCCCTCCCCCTTTCTAAAGCACAGACTGAGAAGTGGTTTGACTCATTGAAGCCTCACAGCACCCCGGCTGCAGTCAGCTGAGAGGAGACCGCTACAAATGAATCACACATGCGCAAAGTTCTGAATGAAAGCTTTATAGCAGACAGCTGAATTCCCCTCTTCACGGTACTGCGTACTGGCGCAGTACCGGACAGTACCGGCTAACTTTTACTTTTTCATTTGTCCCTTTTCATATCAAATATTTATGATTTGAGTTGGATGTCATTGCTGTGGTGCATGAAATATTTTGGTTAATTATTGACCACATTTATCAGAACAGGAAATCAAAAGAGGAAAAGTATTGCTTTGGTTTGGTGATTAGTTCTGGGTGCACGATTGAGCACCCAGCATCAGCTTTGACTGTACACCTTTCCTTAAGAACAAAAAGTAATATTTTAATTAAACTGTAAATAAGCACACATGCATCGGACAGAGTTTTCTTTAAATAGAGGAAGGGGCAGCTCAAGGCCGGATTAACCATATGGGCAATTGGGCCCATTTTGTGTTTGGGAGTACTTCTGTCATTAAAGCCCTGGAGTTAGAGTTGAAATGATGCTCTGCCTTGTGGCGTTTGAAATTTATCTGGCTTAGACGTTTGGGTTCCAGGTTCTTTGCTGTCCCACAGACCTGTGACATAAAATATTATTTCCAAAGTAGAATGTGACTTATCATTTAATTATGATTTAAGTTCTGATTTGACACATGGAAATCAACAGGCTAATTG